CACTTAACAGGATGTAAGAAGATATCTTTCCAATGTGAGGAAAATCTGCTCTTAAGACCAGACAGTTGTCACGCAAGTGTCTCCATTGGAGGATTTACCCTTATCCCTTTTCTGGTGCCAACTCAGAATTTTGGATTTACCCATTATTTTCCTTCCTAGGGACATAGATTAATTACACCCAACATAGAAAATACAATGAATAAGTAAATGTTATTTTTGGTGCTTTGTTTACTTTTCCAAGTGAACATACAATCAATCCCATTGTATCTACCTGCTTCTTTTTCAGGGACAAGGTATCCCAAAAGGGACAACAGAACAATTGTGTCACAAAATTCTATTTTGAATGCAAAAAAAAACAACAAAAAAAAAAAACTCTCATTTGAACAGAAATCTGGATGATATAGTGAAATATACACCACTGCTACAAGTCCAAGCTGCGGTCCTGTCTCGAGGACCACATGATATTATTTATACACACACCATTTCAATAGGAAAATATACAATGTAAAATCTTTGATAATTGTATGAGACATGTGGAGACACATTGATATATGAAATTACCAAAAAATCCGTGCAAAGTGCCTACAAAAGCACATTAATTCTGTAATGCATATCATCTTTAAAGCCCAGCAATTTTACATTTCAGCTAATTTCCCAGAAATAAAAATTATACTCCTGGCCTTCTCGTTTCCCCCTTCCCAGTTTATGAAAACTTAAATATAGTCTGGAGTCCAGTTCTGAGAGCCGATGAATAGGCACTTCACTATCCCAGTCTAGGCCACCGCCTCCAAATACCTATTAAACCCTCTTAGCCCTGCAGTTAGTTTAAGTGCCTAATTGCCCTTATAAATTACTTCTTGTTTAAGAAATCAGTTTATGCAGGGATATAAGTGATAGGGTTTTGTTTTGTTTTTTAATGGCTAAAACGTCTACAGCAGAAAATCTCCAGGGATTGAAGCTGTCAGTGCCTGTAGGGAGTCTCCTTATATCAAACCCAACAGTGGATTTCCACAAAAAAAAAAAAAGAAGTACTTTAAACCAAGTGCAAACAAGACAGAAGTGAGGAGAGAAGAGACGTAAGTGGTGATCAAAGTCTCTAACATTGACAAGAAACACAAGTCACCTTCAGTGCAAATCCAAAAGGTGTAAAAAGAAGTAGCATAATGCAATAATACCACCTCAACTCGCATAATAAAGTCATTAAAACAAGGGCTTGTATATTCAAGCACAAAACTGTCAACTGAACAGCCTAATCCCCTTTGTAATATTATAAGACACCAACTCTTTAAAATAAAAAACAAAGTGTTTATAAAATATATGGCCCTTATACCGATTTAATATATGGCCCTTATACCGATTTAATATATGGCCCTTACACCGATTTAATACATGGACCTTATATTTATTTTAGTCTTCAAAGAAAGTGTAGGACAGTGGCCCGCGCATGCTGGAACCTGTAGTTTCAAATATTGCCCATATTAATGCTTTTGCACAAAGCATTGTGAAACACTCCAGCCAATAAGCTTTAAAAAGGTTTCATTGGGTTTTAGCAAAGTCATAACAATGGAAAGTGTCTTCTAATTGGTTGTTACGAATTACTGAAATTGTTACGCTACTCCTTGAGTTACAGCAAAATTTGTCACATGTGAGGCACAATTCTCTGGAAATATTTTATTTTTTTAATTCTGCCAATGAAGAATAATTAGTGGTTTTGGCAACTTTTTAAATATTGGACACATTTGCAGAAAAGAGGATGCAAACGAACTGGGAGCTAGTCACAGTGCTGTGTACTTGGACAATGCAAATAATTATTTAATAAGCCACACCCACATGTAACTTGGTATAACACTGTAACAATATTCTGACATTGGCAGCCAACACCAAAGCATGTCACTTTATCTAATCATTGAATTGTTACTTTAAATCTTCTTTTGTTAGAGATATATATAATGCAGAAAAGGACAGCAGAGCACTCTGACATCACTCTTGGCAAAAACAGCCCAAAACACATTTTTCACCCACTTGATTCCTAATTAAAAACGTTCCGATTCCAAGAGGGGCAATCAAACCAAAGTTAATAAACCCATTTTATATCTATGTGTGTTTAGCCAAGGCTTCTTGGCTTAGCGATAAAAGGTCTAAATATAAAAATAGTAATAATAATTATATGCTACGGCAAACCATCAGCAATCCATTTATCAACTTGAAAATTGTTTGCTATTCATCACAACTTGGTAACATAAAGAAAGGGGAAAAAAAAAAAAAAAACGCACACAGAGAAAGGAAAATACAAAGCAGACCTAAGCCAGAATTCTCCACCAGTAGTAATTGTATCCTGTGCTACTTCTGCCAGGCTCGTAAGCATACTAAATGCATCTTAAAATAACAATTTCACCTTTTACCAAACAATAAATCAAATTCCAATAAATTAGAACTGATTAAAAACAAAGACTTGCTTGGAAAACACATGCACATCTGTGGGATATTTGTAAAAAA